CTCACAAGACTGCTCCACAGAGAAAGGACTCTGATCACTTTGCGGGTTAAAGCTGTGGAACAAGGAGGGGATGTTGCCCAAAGTACACCAGTAGATGATTTTTACGTGACTGGCGCTGGATTGAGTTTGTCCCCTCGTCGCTGTTCGACAAAAAACTCAAAATCAGCTGCAAAGAGGTGATCTAGTTGTGACAGCTGACAGCTTTTGAAGCTGTTTTTTTATGATAACTGCTGTTTAACGCCACAGTTCGCGTTCCGACTGTTATCAACAATGCCTGATTATGGTCAAAAGTCGTACCCCAGGCGGGAGTCGAACCCGCACTTCACGCTTTCCGGGCGAGTGCGCTATTCGTTACTCTACCAGGGATGCATTCACCTTCTCAGCCTGCGCTTCATTGCCGATATCTAGCGATTACGGCTGACCGGCTCACCAAGTTAAATGTGTGTGTGCTGTTAAGCTACGGCATAAAAGCCGTTAAGCTGAGATGGTAAAGGCGGCTTTGGTGGCGTAATGGAAAGCGCACTCGCCCGGAAAACGTGAGGTGCGGGTTCGACTACCGCCTGGGATACGACTTTTGCCCTTAACTCAGCATTCTTGTAATGACATTCCTGACAGCTTTTTTTTTTTTGCTATTTTCTTCACGGATGAGGTGGTGAACCCTTTTGTACTTCACTACCATCTTGCTATCTTGGAAGGTGCTTTAGACCTCATCACCATGTCCAACCAAATGACCACTTGCACAAGAAACTTTTAATTTCAAAATGAATTCCCTCACCTCATGTTTGCTGCTGCTGCTGCTGTTGGCTAACCGAATTTTATCATACATCCAGTAAGTAACCCTGTTTGTTCAAGGTAGCTCGAGATTTCAGATTCTCGAGCATTGACAACAACTCCATCCCCAAATCACCAGGCATCAGTGATCGTACGGCAACCGAAAACTCTTCGGGATGGGCTTGACGAAGAGTCTGCAGCGTTGAGGCGACCTCATGAACAACCTGAAACAGGACGCAATCCTTCTTGAGTCATTCCGACTCAGTACAAGAGCGAGTTCTGTGAACGAGAACCTCGCCTTCTAGGCTGTATAACTCACCACAGTACTTCCAGCATCAGATGAGCTTATATGGGGCAACGAAGGCACTTCCAGCGCTGTTCGCAACGTTCTTTGCCACCACTGGGCATTCCCGGCTGATGTTCGACTCAGAGTAGCCAGCGCCAACTTTTGGCAGGATTGATCACTGCTAAGTGCCAGATGAGTAGCAGCTTCCTGGAGGTTGTCGAAAAGCGCGCCTGAATAAGTAAAATTTGAAATCACGAGAACATGAAGCTTGCAAGGCTTTCAGCAACTCTCAAACTTTAGCCAGTTTACATTTCAGGTGTACCAATGAGGACGTGTTTATCTCACACAATTTCAAAGAGGGAAAGACTCAAAGAAAAAGCGAAAACGCTGGCTGTTGTCGGGCATGGGGGTGAGCATTTTTCTTCCCCAGTTCGCTTTAATTCATGTCAACTAAACACTTGATAAGACCTAAGGAACTGCGATACTTTTCGACTGAGCTGCTTTGCTCACGGGATCTTACAGATCTTTACAAAGTGACCTGTAAAACTTTAGTTGAGTACCACTCGGTGCCCCCACCAAGCCCATCTGGCTATCAAAACCTACCTGTTGCATATCATCAACCAGCATTTCGACTGGTTGTCGATGTTGTGAACAGTTGTAGAAAGGACGCCGTACCGACATAGATCAAGTTACGGTACGCAGCCTCATCTGCAACAAGTTCACATCTAGGGGGAACGACCAGTAACAACCGATGAAGAATCAACCTTGAGCGCGCAATGCAGGTGTTGGCTCAGTTTCCATAGAAAGGCGAGCTGCTGAAGCAAGAATGGCACCGAAATCAACACCAGATCGTAAGCATTCCTTCTGAATAGTCAACATTACTACTTAAACGGTCCGACCATTACTTCACAAATGAACTTCGAGAACTTGGGGCACTGACCTTGAACTTGGCGACTATTTGATGACTGAGAATAAGCAGATGGTTCATGCTATCCAAATCAGTAGACACCTAAATAGCACCGTGGATTCAGTTATTCCAACAAACTGCTTATTTCAAATCTTTCCTCACCGCGGCTAAAGCGGACATCAATGGTGGCGTATATCGGCGAAAGTTCAGAATCGAGGCAGACTACCAGTCGATGTGCTGCCAGTTGTCTGACGGATTCAAGTAGGAACGCATTCTCCGCGCTCAGATGACCAAGGAACAACTGAAAATGTGTATTCCCTAGGCCCATTCTCTCGATAATTTCCTTTCCTGCTGCCTAATGAAGAAGTGTTGCGAAGGAAATATGATACACTACTTAAAGAACTCAAATGCCTCCGCTCGAGTGACTGAGCAAGCGGACGTCACTGCTGGGGTCCGCTCGCTGAAATTAGACATGAAAGCTTCACTTTTGAACTATTAGGTTGGCGGGAAAGTTCTGTCACATTTTTTCAAAATAGGCTTTCTTTTTATAGAGAGGAGTGTAAGATCAAAATTGTACAGCAATGTTACTGCGGGGTCCTTGCCAGTGTTTGAGCACCTCATGGATGCCATCGCTTCACTATGCAGGGAGACACGACGCAAAGTTGGACACCATCTCAACCTCGACTTGAACTTGGGTTATGGAGGTTTTCTCGTCCGCATAACGATCGATTACGGAAGGCAACTTGCTATTAGAAGGGGCGATGTCTGTGCTACACAATTGCAAGGGGAGAGAGATCAAGCTCCATTGCATGAGGTACGGACCTCAAAACTTTTTTTGGACCAAGTGCGTTGCACTCTCTTGGTGAGGGCCGGCTGTGCGGACAAATTTTTCCCTCTGATCCACGATACGCCTTAGATCTCGTAGCTGCTTTGCGTACGCCTTGACCAAGGAAGCAGCTTCTTCATCCAGCAGTTTCCCGACCCATAGCTCCCTCAAGCTACTGCCAGGTTCAAACCCAAACCTCACTTCGTCATCGAAACTGTAGGCTCCCTAGGCTCCCGCCTTGAAGCGTCACTGTCGTGGTAAGGTTGCTCGATGATTGGGGGCATCGTGCTTATTCAGCTCCATCAATTTGGCATATCTGCAGCCTAACACGCTGCGTCAGGGTAGGTGGTGAAATAGCTTGTGGAAGTTGTTCTGGTGGGGTCGGGTCTGACTGGGTAGTGGTTGCGGAGTTAAAATCCTTGTGCATATTGCAGAAGAAGGAGCAAGAGGCAAGCGAGTGGTACTAACAGAGAGACCACTCCTTGTTGTATAAGAGCTTACATTACGGTTACATCTTGGTAAATGGGCAAGTAATTTGAGTTCGGAAAAGAGTGACAGAACTTTCCCGCCAACCTAATAAATCAGGACACCTTGCACTTTTCGGGATGACTCAAGAACTAGTGGTGCAAGCCAGATCAGTTTGCGGGATATAAAACTAGTACTTGTATCACAGAGTGGAACTCACGTTAAGAAGGCGCATATAGACATCGACGCATCTGCACGACTGCATTGAATTCGCATTGTTGAACGCTTTTGATAAACGGCTGTAACAGGCAATAGTAAAAAAGGAATTCATTAGATACCTCTAGTGCTCTTTGGTCCTGAAAAAAATGGCTTAGAGATTAGAAAACGTGTCTGTTTGCGAGAAAAATTTTATCCTACTTCTGTTCTGAAAGGGATTCTACAAAATGTCTGTGTTCAGTTCGAGTGCGGTAGTCTAACACTTGCGATACTTATTTGTTAAACGACGTGGGAACCCCCAGAGAGTTTCCAGTGAAGCTCCAGGCATCATCACAGTGGAAATTTCACTACAATTCGCAGCGGAAGTGGAAGGAAACACACTAGTCACAAAAAGGATGGAAAGCCGAAGGTTCTCTTTCTCCATAAACATGTGGTATAAAAATATGTTAGTGTATATCTGCGCCGATAACGTAGGTGAAAATTATAAACAAGGCAACACGGCTACGGTAGTCCACCACGTGCGATACTTATTTGATCAAAGCTGATAGGAGAAAGGCTCTAGTCACTTTCATCAGAATCAGACACTTTTCAAACCAATTCGGGCACTTTTCGGATAAATGTCGACACTATTCACATCGACATTCGGGTGTTCTAGGGTAGGTGGAAAATGGGACGATTGACCCCTCGTTAATGACTTGTCGCACCTACGATTCGAGGCATAATTAACGAGGTGCGAAGCGACCTCATTAAGCCGAGGCACGTCGCGCTAACTGCGGTTGGCCTCGGTAAGAGGAGAAGTTATTAAGCTATCCAAATTCATGACATGAATTCATCGAAAATTTTGTTCTATAGTCAGGAGCCACCCTGGTGTCGCCACCTCCTCCTCGTCCTGGTCATTCTTGCGGCGTGCAAGCTCTAACCTGCCAACTTCGAGTGTTCTGTAAAAAGGAGGGAGCTCACACGAAGTGAGCGGAGCATCCCACAGAGGGGAACTATCCGATGCTACTTGAAAGGTTGAAACCTCAAGAGCAGACCGTATTGTGAAAGAATTC